TTGACGATTGGCTCTTAACTTTCTCAAGAAATTTGGCCGCATGCTGTTGATGCTTCGCCCTAAACTTTCTCAAATCCGCCCACACCGCTTTGGCGGTGAAGGCGTGCTTATTGGGGGGCAACAGCAACACTAAATGCTCAATGACATTTGTTAATATAGCAGTCGCTATATCAGCTTTAGCTGGGGGGGGGCCCAAAAACGGTTTCGCACCGAGACCAGAATACGGTGGTGTTTTCGACATTTTTTCGAGGATTTTTGGGTGTCTGAGCGCAAGAGGGTATTGAAATGGAATTTTGGGTCCTTTTGGTAGCTTTCCGGCAATGGAAAAACGGCCAAAAATGAAAAAAAACATTGTACATAGCAAGAATTTGCAGGGTTTTTGGATGCCAGAGCATTGAAAACACTGCAAAAACAAGTGTTTTGGACTGACGTTATAGCAAAAAACGTGTAAATTACCGTATGCTTGACTGGAAACATTACAAAAACACTGTCAAAAGCAATGTTTTGGAAGGATTTACTGCCTTTATGGCAAAAAACGTGTAAGTTACCGTCTGTTTGACTGGAAACATTGGAAAAACACTGTCAAAAACAATGTTTTGAAAGGATTTCTTATATATATATGTTGGAGTTGGCTACCGGCATTGGCACATGGAAAAATTGAAGAAAACACTGTAAATAGCGGTATTTTCAACGGTTCGGGAGATAAGGGAATTGGAAGCATTGTCGAACATGATGTTTTCGACCGGTTTTATGGCGACAAAAGTGTAAAGTACCGTGCTTTGAAGGAAACCATTGCAAAAACATGGAAACACATTCAAAGAACACGGGATTTGGGGGACTATCTAGGCGTCGTTGTCTAGCTATTTTGAAATTCCGCAGCTTGGAGAGCCTCCAAGGGAGGGAAAAGTGAAAATTCCATAGCTTGGGAAGCTGTCACGGCGGGGAAAAATGAAAATTCCCTAGCTTGGGAAGCCCCCACGGGGGGGAAAAGTGAAAATTCCCTAGCTTGGGAAGCCCCCACGGGGGGGAAAAAGTGAAAATTCCCTAGCTTGGGGAGCCCCCACGCGGGGGAAAAGTGAAAATTCCCTAGCTTGGGGAGCCTCCATTCCCTAGCTTGGGGAGCCCCCACGGGGGGGAAAAGTGAAAATTCCCTAGCTTGGGGAGCCCCCACGGGGGGGGAAAGTGAAAATTCTTAGCTTGGGGAGCCCCCACGGGGGAAAACCACCCTTAGCCCCTCGCACGGACCGAAATAAACCTGCGGTGTGGGCGGCCACCCCACGCGAAGCGGGGTGAATAACGCACTCTTTTTGTTTCGCTCTCAACTCTATCAAGTAACTTGCCTCACGCATTTACCACAAGCTCTTGATGCTACGCTCTTGACGTTTCCAAATTACTTGCCACGCGCTCTTGGCGCTACGCTGCTACGTTCTTAACTTTCGCAGGTACAAGTAACTTGCCACATGCTCTTGGCGCTATACGCGCTGACGTTTCTCAAGTAACTTGCCACTCCTCTTGACGCTACGCTGTTACGCTCAAGTTTGTTTCAAGTAACTTGCAACCCGTTTTTCGTGCCACACTCTTGGAGAAGCTTGCGCGGGCCGGTGAGAGACATCAAAATGCAGCCGAAACTTTGAGTGCCCGATAATCAAACATGTTTTACTTGGAATTGTGATGTCACGGTCCATTTTTGGCAAACTCTCCAAAAGATTCGTGCCTTGAGATACCTCGCCTGCTTTTCGTGCACCTGCACTCACATATTCCATTTTCATAACCTTTCCAACTACCCGGTGCGGTGCCTTACAGGCTCCGCAACCACGATTCAGCATCGCGGGAAACATTTATTCTATTATTTCCACGCCGCACCTGCCACGCGAGCCTGTTCTTGCTACTGCGGAAAGATATCGCACAACGACGTTTAGCAGGTCGACGATTCGCCCTTAGTATCGCCAGGAACGTTTTTCTATTTTGTTTTGCCTATGGCGATGGCGACTCAGGAAGATTTTGCTCCTTTAAACACGAAACGTCCTTTTGGCATGTGGACGCGGCTCTTTTGGCATCGCGGAACGACCCCTTGGCATGACAGCCGTTTTGGCATGTTGACGGGATGAGTGGTTCGAAATGATCAAACCCAACAGAGTCGGATCCTAAAATGGATGGTTTCGGATCCTTAGTGGGCCCACGCCCAACAAAGTTCCACAGGTTGATGGCAGCGACCTGCAGCCCAAAGAGAAGTTGCCGCATCACGATGCGAATCTCCTCCAAATCTACCAGGGAATCAAACGTCACATGGGGGAGACATTTACAGGGCATAACATGGCTAATATGGTATCTTATGGGCTATACAATGGATACAAGCATACCAGTAGTACCGCACAAGGCAGTGGCGGAAGTTTCAAAGATAGGACACTATAGGAGAGGTGAGTTGTTGTGATGCATGGATGGCAAGGCGAATCCATTGATGGACCGAAAGCTGGTTGGGGCTGCGCTTTTTGGAGTGGTTGCAGGGGTCACCTCAACCACAACTGCTGGATGTAGCGTGGTGCAGAGTGTAGTTCAAAGCATTATTTGCAGTTGCAGTTGTAGTTGTAGTTGTATTGTAGTGTAGTTGTAGCTGTAGTTGATGTAGTTGTAGTTGTGATGCTGTAATGTTGTAGTTGTACTAGTAGTCGTTGTAGTTGCGGTTGCAGTTGTAGTTGTAGTGTAGTGGTGGTGGTGAAGTGGTGAAGTGTGGTGAAGTGTGGTGGAGTGTAGCGTAGGGTAGCGGAGTTGCAGCTGTAGCTGCAGTTGCAGTTGTATAGTAGCGTAGTTGAAGCTGCAGCTGTGGTTAATGTTGCTGTAATTGCAATGTTGTAGTTGCAGCTGTAGCTCTAGTAGTGTAGCAGTAGCTGTTGTTGTTGTAGTTGTTGTAGTTGTTGTAGTTGTTGTTCTTGCTGTTGTGGTTGTAGTGTGGTGTAGTGGTAGTGTAGTGTGGTGAAGTGGAGCGGAGTGTAGTGTACTGTAGCGGGGTTGTAGTCTTGAGTTGTAGTCGTAGCTGTAGTGGCTTTAGTTGCAGTTGCAGTAGCAGTAGTAGTAGCAGTAGTAGTAGCAGTCGTAGTAGCAGTAGTAGTAACAGTAGTAGTAACAGTAGTAGTAGTAGTAGTAGTAGTAGTAGTGGTAGTGGTAGTGGTAGTGGTAGTGGTAGTGGTAGTGGTAGTGGTAGTAGCAGTAGCAGTAGCAGTAGCAGTAGCAGTAGCAGTAGCAGTAGCAGTAGCAGTAGCAGTAGCAGTAGTAGTAGTAGTAGTAATAGTAGTAGCAGTACTGGTAGTAGCAGTACTGGTAGTACTAGTAGTACTAGTAGAACTAGTAGTGCTAATAGTATTAAATAGCACTAGTAGCACTAGTAGCACTAGTAGTTCTAATTGTTTCTTGTTGCGCTAGTAGTACTAATAGTACTAGTGGTACTAGTAGTACTAGTAGTACAAGTAATACTAGTAGTACTAGTAGGTCTAGTAGTACCATTAGTACTAGTAATAGTAGTACTAGTAGTACTAGTAGTAGTAGAGGAAGGAGTAGTAATTATTGTTGTAGTGTAGTGGTAGTCGTAGTGGTAGTGGTAGTGATAGCAGTAATCGTAGTAGTCGTAGTAATCGTAGTAGTTGTTGTTGTTGTTGTTGTTGTTGTGGTGCTGCTGCTGCTGCTGCTGGTGGTGGTGGTGGTGTTGGTGGCGGTGGTTCTTGTTGTGGTTGTCGTTGTTGTCGTTGTCGTTGTTGTCGTTGTTGTTGTTGTTGTCGTTGTTGCCGTTGTTGTCGTTGTTGTCGTTGTTGTCGTTGTTGTGTAGTGTGGCGCGGTTGACCGTCCAAAAGTGGTCCGCAGTGTGTTTTGCACATTTTGACTTCGATATTTGCTTCGCGCCACAACGGCGTGCACTTTTTGAACATCTCAACTTCAAAAGGTGGTCCGAACCCGTAACTTTTTTACGCTTTTGCCTTGGAAATGTGCTTCGCGCTACAACGGCGTCCACTTTTTGGACATGTCAACTTCCAAAAGCGGTCCGACAGTGAGGTGCTTTGCGCATTGACATGGCAACTTCCAAAAGTGCTCCGAGCATGTTGTGTTTTGTACATTTTGACTTGGAAATGTGCTTCGCGCCACAATGGCTTGCAATTTTTCATCTCTCATCTGGCCAGATGGCTCCGCAGCTGCAGCTTTAGCGAGCCTACTTTTCGACCCTCCGGAGCCACAAATCATTCGAAAAACAGAGTGTTTCGCGATTTTCTCGCACCTGCATCTTCTTTCTTCTGACTCTTTCTCTTCTCTGATCTTCTCTCTTCTTCTCTTCTCTTCTCTGACTCTTCCCACCTCTGCTTTTCCATCTGTCCATATTGTCGGAAGTTTGACTTCTAAACTTCCTTCGGTTATATACACACATAGCTATACACATCTATATACTGTATGTCATCATCAAATCAGCAGAAGGAATTGCAGCACCAGTCACTACCAACCACCAGCTCCAGCCGCTCCAGCTGTTTTCGACAGCTTCCGCCCAGCTGCTTCGGCCCAGGCTGGGTGAGACACGTGCCACGTCTATCCACGTCTCAGGAGTCCTTCGTCCATACCTCTCCTTGGTCGGAGAAACAATGCTATCGCCAGTCTTGGACTTCCATATCTTCCATCCACCACCAAAATGATCAGAGATGATCAGAGTGGTGGAGCCCCAAAATGGTGCATTTGAAAGGCGGGCAAACTTTTTATCTCCGACGAACAGCGTCACAGGTCACCGGTGAAGCTCCTTTAGAGCAGTCTTGGGTTGATCAACTAGATGCAATCAGATGCTATCCTTGGAATTCTGAATAAACATGCAAGGACATCAAAGGCCCTGAGCCTGGCAAGGCAAGGACGGGCCGCTACGTTAAACCTGCCTCCCAAGCTTTGAAAATAACTTTTCTTCCTGAAGCCCCACTTGACATACAAATGAGGCCTAGGTATTCATTGAAAGCCGCTGATTGGAGCCAGAGATGCACTCAGCGTGCGCACAACGATGTCCGTGCAGGTTGGCAATACTTGGCCTCATAACCCTTTGGCGACAATGGCTCAACCACCAGCATGCAACCGGTCATTCTCATCTCCTCATCCAAGCATGTCAAGTGAAACAAAGCATGGCACGCCACAGCATCCTCTGGCTGCGTGAAGTGCACAACAGCATAGCCCATATTGCGGGAACACTCTAGACTGTACGGGACGTAGATGTCAAGATGGCCCTTGAAGCCACGATCGGCCATTGCGGACCAAAGCATCTCCTGCGTGTAGTATGCAGGCAGTCCCTTCACGACAAGCGTCGCCTTATTCTCCAACACTTGTGGCCGAGCCCAGCTGCTAACTGCACGGCTTGTGGGGTTCAACACTTCAGCTTTTTGGTGATACTCTACCAAGGACTGCTCTTGTAGAACCCTCGAATCTTGGAGCCTGTGCAGCTGTTGCCGAAGGCTTGCCTCCTCTATAGTGAGGTAGCTTGGTGCTACATCTTTCTCTGATACCGTGTCTGGTGATTCATAGGATTCGGTGGATTCAATGTTGGGAAACGAATCCATGGTGACGGTAGTGACAGTAGTGTCACTGGATCCATCGATTTCGTTGCCTAGGAGCATGGGCTTTGGCAACTGCACAGCCTCGCTCTGGCGATATGGTGCCCACGTCGAAGCATGGCCTGAGACTCCGTGCATCTTACCCATCTTATTCGCCTTCATCGTGATCGTCGAAATCTTGAGCCCCAGAGCTCTGATCACTTTCTCATATAGTCTTATCAACTACTAATGTTAGCCCACATGTATGCTTATATAACTTATATATATATATATTGTATCTCTATGTGTGTGTGTGTGCACTTGTTAATCACTGGTGAAGCATTTGATGACGTAGACTTTTGGGAGTTGCGAAATTCTGCGACATCAAGTCATTTCCGTTGGATCAGTGGGAGTGCCAAGTATGGATGCATGATTCGTCAAAGTCGCACATACAGACATACACAGGTGGGAGCTGCGACCTAGGTCCCTAGGTCTCAGCAGGGCCACCGAGTCTCCATCGCTCCAGTTGATCAAGGTTTTGTCAGATGTAGAAAAAATGATGATCCCCTCATGCCGGGCACCCTCCAACTCCATGTAAATCCTGACGGGCGCAGCAGGGGGCGCTTGGAACACCACTAGTCAAAGTCAAACATTCTCTCTTGCTCTCCTTTCTCTCTCTCTCTCTCTCTCTGTCGAAATGTCACGTTTTCTATGCTCGTTAGATCCTTCGTCGCTCCGTATTGTCAAGTGTTCAGTGCATCCGCTCACAGCATCCATCTCTCTCACTCGTCACGAAAGCAACATTGTCTGACCTGTCTTCACCAGCAGCTTTCAAGATGGTAGGTGGGTGCTGGTACAGCGGCTGCCAAACCATCTTGTTTTCATAGATCCGACCTGCATGACAATATACGGTGACATGAACGACAGACTATGACTATGACCCATGGATAAGTCAAAGCACGGCATTTATACATATAACAGCATTTGTGGGCTGAGGCTTGGTTCAAGGGGCAGCCTAAGCCCCTCACACGTTTCAATCCTATAAAGCGGTGCGTCATTACCTGCTGATCGATAATCGTTCTTGGTAGTACATTTCTCGATTTAGTCCCTCGTACTCCCGATGCTCAACTTTTGTATCAAAAGTCACGCGCTGACCTTTTCTGCTGCGCTCCACTAATTTTTTGTGCCAGAAATGCTGAAAAAGTGCCGAGCCTAAGAGCGATTTGTCTTCCATCCGCCGCCATCTTCCTTGCAGCTTTCCTCCGCAAAAACCTGCACTGGTTGGGTGTCTGTTTCTTCTGGTCTTCTTTAAAAACACATTGAAATCATTGAAATCAGAAAGTGCGGATCCCTTTTTGACTTTTTGTCGATGTTTGACTATGGGAAACTAATAGAAACTATATCCCTGGAGCCAGGTGGAGCCACGTGGAGCCACGTGGAGGCACTCAGTTTTCACCGAGCCTGGAAGGACCGAGATTGAAACCTCGTCCTGCTGGTTTCGCTTGATCGACTCTGCGACAGAGTGCATGGTTTCGACGGTGACCATTTGGTGAGAGTCGCCTGCATCCTGGGGAGGCAATTGACCTTGACCTATTTGACCTACTTCACGTACTTGATATGACAAAAATGACAAAATGACCAAACCGGATGCAATTCTTGAAGCCTGAAGAGTCTGAAGAGTGCTAGATTCTAGATGATTCTAGCAGCATTCCCTCAGACCATCGAGGTTGGATTTTTGAGCCAAGTTGGCCATGTGACTGACTCAAAAAAAATGACCGGACTGGAACTGCCAAAATCTGCCCCGATGGTAGCAGCTGTGAGACAATGTCCTCGCAACACATTCTGCAGGCTCCCGCTCCCATGGCTCATGAAATATTAGCTGCTCATGTGCGAACCAAACTCACCGCACGGTCTCTTTGTTCAATGCACTTGGTCGCACGGACATTGTGAATGCAATGGTGTGCCTATAGACGTGTCGCCCAGTTCGACAGAATATAATGTTTCATACGCAAATATTTGAGACGAATACAAAAGGTCAAAAGGTCAGTCTATATGACAGTTGTCATCTGGGTCGGCCAAGACCAATGAAAGAAAACATTGAAGAAATTAGAAGAACATGTTTAAAAATCAATTTAAAAAAAGGCTTGAGCCATCTTGAGCCAATTCCTATGGCGATGTGCGAAGCCTCACCATGATTGGACCATGACGTGATCGGCAGCAAGCACACGACAGCTGCGCAATGGTGCGCTCCTCGGCCTGCAAGAGTCGATGCCTGAAAACAATTGAAAACACGCCAAAGGATTGGCATCGGCAAATCACGATGCTTTTTCAGTTTCAGAATGTTTCAGAATGGGCATCAATGGGGCATCCATGGGCATCCCATCCCATCATATCCAGCACGCGGGAAACATCGGGAAAGGCTACCAGTAGTACTTACCAACAACAGCTGGCCTATCTCGAAGTGCTTGAACCCCTACACTTTTTTGTGCCATATTGCAGAGGATTTCGCACACACTGTGGAACTTTAGCCCTGACCTCAAAACTCGTCCAAGATCCTTCCCCGCTACCAAATCCATAGCAACCTGGGCGCCATTCTCTCAACAGCACGAGACGGCTTAAGAAGTAGAAAACAAATCCCCCCGCAACACACATCTCAGGATGTCTGAGGGATGTGCATAGTAGGAAGTCTTGTCCTGAGCCGGGCGAGATCTTTTTGAGCTTGTCCACTGACCCGGCTGACCCGGCTGACCCGGCTGACCCTCGCAGTACTCTGATTGAACCCCTCGCCTCCAGGACATCAGGGATTCCAGCCAAAGATTCACCTCATTCGTGAGCTCGAAAACTGCTATCAAAGCGGGGGGCACTTCATTGCTGGCATGAAAACCGAAGCAAAATCAAGAAGCAAAAGCAGAAGCAAACATGGCCACAAAGTCACAACTTTGATGTAAAGTAAACAAAAGTAAACAGGTAAAGCCACTGGGCGGCATCTTCAACAGCAGCTCCATACTCTTTCTCCAGGACCTCTCATCTTTCATGCTCATGAAGGCCCGGTCGTTGCCTTGAAGCATGTCCGCTGATGGAATATGATGGAATCTGTTACAGAATGTTACAGTGCAGTGTAACTGTTACAGAAAACATGTTGAAACCAAGTTGAAACTAAGTTGAAACACATTGAAACATGATGGAAACGCACCTGGGCCTTTCTTGCGGATCTTGATTGCAACTTCCTGGCAGGAGATTCAACACATTTCAAACATGTGAGCGATCGGCGATAGGACTGGATTGGCTGACATGGTTTGATATGAGAAAATTCTATCACAAGAATGGGCAAACTTACTGGCACCGGACCTAAGACGTGATGAAAGTACTGCTTCAACTGCTTCAACAAAGGCGTGCGTGTTTCCGGGTCCAAAGCATGACAAGGACAGGTCGGATCAGAACTGCCTTCTTGTCACTGGTTCGCTCTGCGTAGCACACCTGCCCCAGCAAAACAATAACGAGGCTGAGTGGTCAGTTTCGCTGCCAAACAAGCTCCAAAAACTAGTCGCAAAATACTTAAATAGTTTGACAGCTTGACATCACTACTCCAACGGTTTGAGAAAATACGAGAAAGTGGTATTAGGAGAAAGTGGTAGTGTGAGAAAGTGGTAGTATGTGGCAATGATAGAATATGATTGTCATTGTAGTCATATGATTGTCTTCACTTTTCAACTTCACCACGGAAATCCACGGACCCCAGGGAAAGACTTGAGGAATGAGCTGCTACCTCCGTGCCAGGCTGCGAACTTGGCTGTAGAACTGCGCCAATGATGTAGCTCCTTTTGGAAAATTGTGGCCATTCGCGACCAAAATGCACAAGTGATGATCCCCTTATCGAAGTAGTTAAAAATCTTGGTTTCCCACATCTTTGCCCGAAAGGTGTTGTCGTCAACCATCAACAAAAAGGATCAAGATGTTCATGTCCGGGCCTATCAATGTGCCGTATTTTCCGTATGCAACCTCAGGTCAGGCCAAGTGCGATATCACCTAGCTGTCCATGGGGCAAAACATCGCAACACCGTCTAATTTTCAAGGCACAGGTCGCAGTTCGATATGGTGGGATGCCGCTGTAGAGCGCGTTTCCGCTACTGGACCCACACCCCAACCCAGAAAAAAAGGCATGCATCAGCTCACGCTGTACTCGTCCAATACCTTCATGAAATTTGAAAACTAGGCCACTCACTGGCATCACTCTTGGTAACGGACATAGGTCTCCTTGGAACTGTACATCATCTCGATCTGTTTTCCGAATGCCTTTTCTACCACTGGTCTCTTCATCTTCTTGGTGGGCGTCAGGAAGCCCTGCTCCTCCGAAAAGTTGGTAGGCAAAATCATGAACTTCTGAATTTTGAAGGCATTGTTGTGGCAAACCTTGGGGTTGTCGTTGGCCTTTTCAATCGCCAACTTCACTTGGTCAATCCATACGGAATCATCAAGAGCTTCCGTGATAGTCTTCACGGCGGGGTTCACACGCAGTGCGCCAGCATCAAGTTTGTCTGTCCCTGGCGTCTCACCATTTGCACCAACAGCCTGCAAGACTTCTCACATACAAAATCTTGACAAACCTCCGAAAATCCAACAGTCCAAATATGTCCAAATTCTCTCTCCTATCTATTCACCAGTCATCCGGAGTCATCCCCCTCAAAGAATTTGAAAGCGTAAACCAAAATTGAACACGAAAAAAGAGACAGCAGCAATCACGCAGCACACCTTCAAGGTGACCAATGCCACGTTGTACTTCTGCTTGTCGCCAATCATGATGACCTCGTTGATGCCGTCACAACTGGCCTTGATATGATCTTCAATGGGCACCGGCGCAATGTTTTCGCCTCCAGCACCGATGATGATCTCCTTGTAGCGGCCCGTGACCTTCACCATCCCGCTTTCACAGACGATGCCCTTGTCACCTGAATGCAACCAGCCATCTTTGTCAATGGTGCCTGCCGTCTTCTTCTCAATCTCTGCCACATGCTCTAACCCCAACTCGGGCTGGGCCAGGTATCCCATCATGATACCTCCCATGTGCAAGCATGTGCAAGCATGTGCTACTTGCAATCAAACTTGATCAAACTTGATCAAACGTGATCAAACGTGATTATATAACCAGAATTGAAAGCACAAAAGAATGATAAGAATGTGAATGAAAAATATGGTGAAAAAAAGGGGGAATGAATCGGAATGAAACATTGGAAGCATTGGCCTGAACTGCTCCAAGATACTGCGCCCACGGAAGCACAGTTCTCCTTGGAAGCTTTCATCTGTGCTATCCAGTTGAGGTGCTCTGGGGCATTCCGTCCTTTTGTTGATGTCATCTGAGTCGACTTTGAAAGCTTTCACCTCCATCCCTGGCAATTGAAATCCGCAGGAGCCCCACTGATGCACCCGGGTGGTGGACACCGTGACTGCCGCAGTGCTCTCGGACATGCCATAGACCTCGTTGATCTGCAAACCCAACGAGCCAAAGTATTCCAAAGTGTCCACACGGATGGGCGCAGCGCCGGTGATTCCGAACTTCACCTCAGGGACTGGTGCCAGATTGCGCCAGTGACAGCATCTCTGTTCCACCTATTTGGAAGTCTGAAAATCAACTGGCGGTTTCTTATAGATCACATATTATGTCACATATTCAAAACAAACCCAAGACACACATGGGTGAGTACAGGATATTACAGGTAGTAGATGGTAGTAGAACGTCATGCCCTTTTTCAACTTCTTTGTCGTCTTCTTTTCCAACCTCGGGCCTTGTCCAATCCCAAAAGTCCCTTCACCTTAGACAAGACCACTTTGTTGGCGAGTCCATAGCCACCAGGCTGGGCACCATCACCTCCAAGTTGTTGTCCCCTAGCACGCCGGACGCCCTTGTCCTTAGCCCAGGCAGCCAGGGATTTCTTCCAGCCGGGGTTGTTGGCGCCCAGAGTCCTCAACTTGTCGGCGACTTTCTCCCAGACCAAGGGGACACCTAAGAAGGCGGTGGGACGAGCGACGCAGAGACGATCTTTCAGGCTGCCAGCCTTCAAGTCATAAGGCCTGGCAAAATAGGTGGTGACGTAGGCAGGGGATGATGCGGTGGCTGCGATGGGGAACGCAATGTCTACCATGAGGCCTGCAATGTGCGACAGCGGCAGATAGGAAAGGATGCGCTCGTGCCTTTCTGCAAGGGATGCTCCTCCTTTGCAGAATCCCATGTGCTCAGCTCCGATCCCGATCACAGAGGTTGATTCGAAAATCACATTGTCATGGGAGATCATCACAGCCTGCCACAGCAGAAGTATTTCAGTCCCTGATGCCACAGTGGTATGTCACATCTGAAAGTAAGCCAGTAAGCCCATGACTCTCACCCCCTTCTCACCCCCTTCTCACCCCTCCCACCTTAGGTTCTCCTGTCGTCCCAGAGGTATAGACCAGCGCTGCACAGTGTCCTGGTTGCAGCGCCTCACAGCGCGCATCCAACTCCTGGTCTGACCCCGAGGATCCCATCTCCAGCAGCGCAGCCCAACTGATGACTGGCACCTTAGATCCTCGATATTCCACCGTTTCGTTGGCACTTGGTTCATAGCCATAGGCTACAAAAGTCTTCACCTTGCCGGCATACTGCCGATCACTTAGGGCAGGAATCAGCCGGTCCAACTTGGTCTTGTCTTCGATGATCACGATGCTGGCTCCACTGTGCACCACCTTGAAAGCAGCTGTGTCTGGTGAATCGGTGGGGTAGAGTCCAGCAGACTTCCCCCCTGCCATGCCCGCAGCAATCGTAGTCAGCATCCACTCAGGCGAGTTGAATCCCCAAATAGCCACAGACTCAAAGGGTTGAAGTCCAAGCTTGAGAAATCCTGCACAACGCTTAAAAATTAGGAGCTGAGGAGGCTGAGATGGGCGGAGGGTAAGATGGGGACATCATAAATGTTGGGAAAAAAATGGCATCACCATGTCACCATGCCCAAAAAGCCGAGCCTTTCGCTGCTTTCCGCACGTCGTCGTAGTACTGTTTCCATGTCCACGTCTTCCACTGATCATCAGGCAAGGCTGGAGGAGCAGGGCCATTCCCCATCAACGCAGGACAGGGCCTCTCCGCCTTCAAAGCGGGCAGAGAGCCGTCCTTCTCTGCGGCTTTTTTCAACAGCTTGGGCAAAGTGGTGGGAGGACAGCCATCAAGACTGGCCACGCCTTGCTTGGCACATCTCAATTCCAAGGCAACATCGGCCTTGCATGTGTACCACACATCCTTGCCCGTATACGGGAAGTAGTCATCCGGGTTTGTCGACACTGGGGCCGCTGAGGGCACATTTGCAGTACTAGATCCGCAACCCATCACGGAATGAAGATCTTTTGTGATCCCACTCCCTGGCTGCGCCTCACTTGAGCCACAAATGCTTCCAAGGTGAATGAAGGTACCACTCAGCTGCTTTGCTTGGCAAACTTCAACACCACGCACTACAAAATGCACAAAGCATGCCCTTCAGGTGATGACCGACAAGCTCACTGGTGTCTGGTCTCTCTGGAAGCCAACAGCTCCAGAACCTGCAACACAAAGATCATCCCTAGTTGCAATGCTTAAAACTTAGAAAGTAAAATATAGAATAAATATAGTAAAATGAGAGTTTCATGAAATGTTGCTTCAACTGGAACTGCCTGGGACTGCCTAACGGCCTAGCGGTTGCTTCAACGGGTGTTTCAAACACGTGTCAAGATCTCCCTGGAACTGCCTTCTACAGCACCTGCGCGACCTCTCTTCTTCAAGACCTCAGTGGCAGTCGCGTTGGTGCTATGATATAGACACGAGATACTAATGATACAATAAACATCAATACATAGATATGCCACTAAATTATATACTGTTATATACTACTACATATACAAATAACAGTTTAATGATCAACTTCAATATCAATCCACCTTTATCTCAAGGTATCTCAAGGACCCGGCCGTGGTGCCATGCCTCACAGCACGAAACATGGCCTGTGTCGTGTCTCCAAGGTCTCCAATATCTCCAAGGCATCACGTGCCCTGGTTCCACCCTGGTTCCACCCCACCTGTTTCCTGCCTTCGGCAGTCGGCATGGCCCACCTGGCAAGAGCATCGTGGATCGGTGGCCTGGGCACCTCACTGATTTATGGATATTTATAGTGTATATATATATATGATGTATGAGATTGCATTGTCCTATCTCAAATCGGATGTCTTTATATGTTTTAATTTTATCATCTATGGAATCTATGGCGGAATCGTTGGCCAAAGTCATTTCGTCACCGGCCTCAGCCAGCGCAGCTGCTGGGGCCCATCAACCGGACCATCCAGCTGGGCCGGAAACAGCATCGAGCCACATTGTCACATCTGATCCCAAAATGTGAGGAACATAAAGGGACCAAAAGGACCCTGGCATGTGAACTCTCACGATCCCAAAATGTTTTAGGGATCCGAATGGAGAGATGAGGAGAGTCCGTTAGAAAGTCTGTTGATTTCCTTTTTCTGCGAAATCTGCGAGATGCGACTGTGACTCTGGGTTTGGGTCGACCAAAACCGTGAAACCGGATGGGTATTTGAGCTGCGCGGAGGTCACCCTCATACCGCAGCCCTCAACTCGAGATCTCCGTTCAAGCCTGGGCCAAGAGATGCATCTCGAGAGTCTGCTGAGTCAAATTGAGTCCACCAGTTCAATCATGTTCAATCTAGAAAATCATATAGCATCAAGCCTCAAAATCCTCAGCTTTCAGACATTGAGATTTCTTTTCGAGAGGTTCTCAATTAACGAGGCCACGCCAAGTGAAGCCTGGGCACTGGGTGGTTGCCACAGCTCCTGACCTTCATCGAGCAACTCCTGAGCGACAACAATCCGTCGTCACAGATAGGGCCAGATTCTCAACTGAATCAGAACATATCTTTTTCTACATAATTCTACATATCCGAACATTGGATTGGAAATGCTTGGAATATGGTTGGAATATGTTGACAACATTTGACAACTGTTGGATACTGTTGGGAAAGAGACAGCCGGCGCAATCCGCCGTTTTTCGCCGGGTGTCTGTCTTGACTCCAAAGGTCTGTGCCAACGCGGATGGCTGATCGATGCAGAAGAAGGGCTGCGCATAGTCAGGCCAAAGGCCAACAATGAGTAGTGCTAGAAAGATACAATGTGCTGCATTGGACCTGGCATTTCGCAAGGGGAAAACATGGAAACCTGTCTTTCCTGGTCAAAGTCGCTGGACTGAGAATGTGGCACTATAAAAATCACTTCTGAGCGAACCCATGGTGCAAAGCTTTGGACGATGATGACAGAAACCTCAGTCCACCACTGTCCACTAGTTTTTCAACCCTTCCTTTTCGAGACTTCAGCTGCACAACTAAAATCTGAAACAATTCACACAGTCATGTGAGGTCGAAGATTGTATGTGTTCTATCTACAGTATACCAATGTATAACATAGATTATGTGCGTCTTTCTTAGATACTTGATACTTGATACATTGACAAAGTCATTTGAAAACTCAAGTTCTCTCATGTTCTCTCCATGTTTGTTCAGGTCACCGGTAGCGACAGGAAGGCGCCCGAGTAGATCAAGCCGTAACAGCGATAGAAGCTCTGCCGGATGGCATCAGTCCTCAGGTGATGAATTGATTTATGTCATGGTATATTCATTGTTTACCCCAAAAAAACATCAAGTGCAGAAACATGGATATATGGAGTATGGATTTTGATCTTCACATCGGCATATTATGGTATATCATGGTAAATGTTGTTTGTTTTTCTTCCTTCTCTCAAGAGAACGGTAGTTTCGAAGCGAGAGTCTCAGCACGCCAGGAGCTGCATAAGTTCCGCAAGTAGAGAGCGAAAATCCCAACATCCTGCAGTTCAATTTTTGTTCAATCTCTCAATGTTTGTCAAATCGTTGCCTCCTTGCAACCTAGCATCAATGCAAATGATCAAAAGACCCATTGGGGTCTTGTACACGAAATCCTCAGCATAACAGGACCAGCTGATAATCACTTTTTGTAGAGGTACCGCACTGCTTAGCAACGCAGCTTTGGAAGCACAGGAAATGTACAGCGTCAAAGTGATCCTTCGCGGCAAAATTTTTGGTAGCTTTCCCTCCCTCGACCATCTTCCGCGCTGAGCCACGGTGGTGTAGTTCCTGGACTGGGCGTACTCTCCCCACACCTGTCACAGTCACACTCAGTCACACTCCAATAGTTGATCATAGACTGATCATAGACTGATCATAGTGAATCGTAGTGACTGTCATAGTGGGTCAAAGTATTGGAGGCTCTCCACCTCCAAACAAATGCTCGATAAGTACATTGGAAGCAAGATGCCTTGGTGCTGCAGGCGTGAGTCGACCCATGGCACAGCGGCATTCACTCTGCAAATGTCAGTCATGGTTCAATGAGATCAGCTGCACTGAGAGAATTACGAGTTGCTTGCCAAATATCACGAGCATAAAGCGGTACTGAAATACATCCTGCAGGAATATGGGAAGAATGCACGCATGAATCACAAGGCAAAGCAACAGGTCATTCATCGCTCCAGTCGTGCATGGACAACGCTATGCAAAGCTTCTTGTGCATGGTCCATTCCACCATTCAAACCCATTCATGGGATTTCTTACCGTGGGCACTCAAACCCTTTTAAAGACAGTACTCGTGACCACATCTAAATTCTTGTTTGACGATGGTAGATGCAGCATTTCAGTCCCTACACAATCAGAAGTTTGTTCTGCTTCATCTAAGTGAGGCACTTCCACGGGAGAGAAGGAGCAGAATGGCGAGTAACATGTACTTGGATCCTGCTTTCAGCAGTTTGGCTGCCTCAACGGGTGGATCAGAGGGCACTGAAGGAGCTTCACTTCGCTTCACTTCCCTCAGGCGCGAACCAGGTAAAAATTGGCTTGGTCTTCTCCATGGTAAGCATACCACAGGGTGTTTATCAGAGTCGACAAAGTTCCAACCTCAGTTCTCAAGCGGCAGCCGCAGCCATGGCCATCCAAAGAATCCAAAGACTTCCAGTGGCAGCTGGGCGGGAATACTGAGGGGATGTCTGCTGCAGCGCCGACGCATGCAGTGAGCAGAATCCGAATCCTTGGGCCGAGGCCGTGAGGATTCGTATCTTGTGCGCTAATCACCGATAGCAAGGGATAGGATCAAATAGGATCGGACAGGCTTTGATGGAGAAACAGGATAAACACATTGATACCGTAAACAAAAAGCATATTTCGTCAACTTCCAAGGTGCGGATGCTGTGTCTTGGCACTTGTGCTCCTGGACACTGCAAGCGACTCTGTTTTGTTGTGAGCAAGAGAGAGAAGAAAAAACGTTCAAAAAATGAAAATCAAGTCTGGAAGATTTTGCATGGTGAGCTGTGTGAATGTATCCCAATCGCGCCCAACCTTTTCAGAACAGCAGCCATTTGGCAAGCAGCGAGAAGAGCATACCTCACTGAGCTGTGAGATGCTGAGATGCTGATGCTGTGAGCCAGGTCCAATTTGTGCAAAGTTGCGCGGTTCAAGTATGCAAAGTTTGTGCAAAGTAGCCGCAAATAGTGAAAACAAGTGGCAAGGCCATGAAGAAGTAGACGCCACCGGGTCCAATTCGATCCATGGAGAATTCTTCCAGAAAACCGAGGTGTACATTGATCATATGCACCTGAAGCGACATTTCCATGTAAACTCTGCAAGCACAACCACTGGTAGCTAGAGAGAAGCTGAGTATGAGACTGTGTAATCAATTGTTCCTCAGTTAGTGCTCTCTGCATGGCGAAATCGTAAAGTCCCGGAGTCCGCTTCACGGTCTTGATTTTTTATTGTCCAAGTACTGTTCGGGTACTGATGGCATGTCCAGAAGAACCACACAAGGACGACTTTGCAGAGAAAAGCTTGCACTCACTCTTCAAAGCTAAAGGTCTTGCATAGCCAGAACAGTCCACAATTGCAGCATACCACCACCGTGGCCGATGGGTCTCGAAGATTTCCTCGGCTTCTTGCATTTGCATTCCGGCCGCTTGCAAGTGCCGTTGCGAGCCCATTCTTAAGAGTCTTGAGTGGAAGTTATTCCAGTGCTGGGGTGTTCCACGTCTGCATTCTCATGGAGTGTGTCAAGGACTTGGCACGTAAGACTTGGATTTAGTCTTCCACCTTTGCGTATTGTTTCATATTGTTACAGAGAGCAACTTACTGCAACAGCTCTGCTTGTTTGCCAAGAAATGAGAGTTGGTTGTCACCGATTGCTTCCACTAATGATTTTGCATTCCGCCCCAGGGGAACACGGAAAAACAAGGACAACCCCCCGCAGAACGAAAATTGTGGAGGGGGCTCGGAAACGATATGGAAGAGTGGCTCAGTCGTTCTGATTTATTTTTCGATTCCATCGTATTTCTCAGTGGTTGAGTTTGAGTTTGCAATTTGTTCACATATCTTTCTAAAATGCGATGAGGTCATCTGCAGGTTATTAATGCCTCCGTTGATAAGTTATAACATTAACTTAACAGCCGTACAGCGGCAAATCTTCTCTCTGTATGTGGCTTTGACTAGCTCTTGTTCATTCTTGTTCTGTGATGTTCTGTGTCTTGCTCAGCTCTCCACCTCACCATCACCATCGTCGTCATCAGCAGTGTCAGCGTCGTTGTCATTCCAATGTTCGCAATGACTCCGGTCAATGCTGTGCTTATTTTTTTTGCAGAGTACCTACGTCACGGGGGTTCAATTGTGTGTCTGTGTCAGTCTATGTCAGTCTGTGTGTCACCTTTTCTCTCCTCCTCCGAGGTCTCCCTTCCCTGTGTCACTCTTGCATTTTTCTTCTGCCTCAACGGTCCAAAACCTTGATGTGTTTTTGACTCGGCAGAGCGTTGAGGCCCCGCTTTACCTCGTAATGCCCTTCATGGTGTTCGTGATCCACTATATGCGTGGGCGTTGATTTCCACCACGTGTCTGCTGCAAACATGTTGAGAATTCAGATGTTTCATGTAGTTTAAGAAAACAGTTTCTTGATTTGTGAATGGTCTGAACATGTTTGAAGTGTTGTTTACCTTTGATCTTCAGGTTTATGATCCCGATCAATGTTGGATGCCCACCAACAAAGTCACTCTCAGGAGAGGGTGAAGAAAAAAAGCACAACATTTGCAAGACCTTATGCAAAATCAAATGGGAAGACAAGCAAACAGCCCAATGGCCCAACAAAATGCAAAGGATATACCGGAGTTTTTACATCATATCATTGATAATATGGCTGGAATCACACCAACTACCCAAAACCGAACATAATGAGCCCCAAAACGCCTCTTGAGAAAGCTTATTTGAAGAGATGTTTTCCGAATTGTTCGAAAGAATTCTGCGAGCTGCTCCCGAATTGATCCAAGTCTCTGCTTTGGGCGCTTTGCCTGAAACCAAGGTGGACACATTGATGACCTGTGCCGGGGGGCACGGGAGGCCACATTGGCCTGTCATCTAAAAAAAGTGTTCAACTATGATGATGTGAAAATGACTCGTAGTAAATCAGGAACATGCAAGGAAAACCTCCAAATGGAAGGGTGCAAAAGCATCTTGCCCCTGAGAGTAAGGTGTAGAAGAAAAAGAAAACAAATCCAACCAAAGACTATATCGCTATTCACATGTCATCACTATGCATCACTGATATCGGCGGCGGATCATGCCATGCCAAATCTTGCCAAGGCTCGTCTGTCCAACGAGCTGCAGCTTTGAGCCTCGCAATCCCACAGCATAAAGCCAGGGTTAACGGTTAGACAAGTATTCTGAACAGTATTCTACAAAAGAATGCAAAAGAAACATAGCTTCAGGTAGATGAAGGAAATGACGAAATGATCTAATTAAAGTCATGCACGGTGTTTTGCCCCCAAAAGCGACAGATGTTTCGATACCTACTTGGCAAGTTGGCAACGATTAGTGCTTTCTCAATTGGAGAATGGCACCATCAAACCATCCTCTTCTTCTTGTTTGCGCCTGTGCTGATATTCAATGGACCTCGTTTCACCTCAATCCCTCTCACGAAAACAAGGAAAGGCTGACTGGTCCACCTGCTAAGCTAACTGCTGAAATTGAAAGACTGAAAGGTCCAGGTCCAGGTAGTTTCACTAGCCCAAAAAGATCCCCAGAGAATTTGAGGGTGAGAATGGTAAGACACCATGCACCATTGATGGTCTGCGACCCTGCCTGTCGGAGTCGCAGCCGAAGCCCCAAAAGGCAGAGCTGTCCGGATACGACGTGGCTTGGTCATCCAACCTCGCAAAAATAAAGGAAAATTTAAAATTAATCATAAAATGATATAAATGTATCATGAAATGACTTGAAACGGTGGCTTCCCCTGACTTCATCACCAAGACACAAAACAAATTTGAGGGTTCCATCTCCTGGATTGGCACAGTGCAGCGTGGCCTCAATGCAGAGACTCAAATTTCCAGAAATAATCCGACAGGACACTGCCAAATCCGTGGCCCTTCGGACCTGCAATTTGCCCACAGGATGCCGAGTATTTGCATCCTCCTTCCAATCAAAACCTCGATACCGACAGAATCCAACGCAGTGCCGGTGACATGAAGAAGTCTCACTCACCAGACGAGCTGCAAAATTTGGATAGAAAGACAATGCCACCAGCTGGGACCTTGGACGGACATTCTGCCATGATTCAAGATGCGGCCGATTTGATTCAAAATTCTGGATGAATCTTTGCATTTCGTTCGTGTTACTCATCGTCCCTGCCTCGACAGAGCCTCTGACCCATGCCTCGCAGACGCGGTGCACACGAAGGAGGAGACCAAGCTATGCCAAGTGCTGCACCAATGGACCAAGTTTCAGCTGAGGCGGGCGCAGACTCTGTAAGTTGACAGATCACAGGCAACAGGAGAACCAATCGGGGTGGCATGGCACAGCTTGACTGCCAGAGTGTTGAGAAAACCTGGAACATTTTGATACAGCTTGACACTGAGATCCATTGAGCTTCGGAATTCTCAGCACGATGCTCTCCATCCATATCGTCAATTGGAAAAGCGGATTGATAGTCGTAATCTGGTCGTAATTGGCTTCATTTATGCACGGGTTTTCTGATGCTCTTGCAACCTGGTTTCATCCGCTGATGTGATGACTCTTCTGCAAGGCTTGCTGATGAACTTTAATGAACTTTACATGTTCGTTTAAAGGCCGTTCGGCTGAGAGGAATTGCCGGCCAAAGCAATTCATAGGCTTTGAAATTGAACCCATTGCATCATGGCTCAACCTCAATCTACAAGTCGGTTCGCATTCCCTTTTCCCTCCAAAATTCCAGCCATACATCGAGCCAGAAGTGAAACTGTTCAACGTCATGTTCAAATCATATTCAGCATGGTCAGCATGGCCTTGAAGTCGAAGTCGTCCAAAATGCCGAGGAGCAAACGGAAACACGTGGTCTTCACACTTCACTTGTGCCTCACTTTTGCCTCACTTCTGTCTCAAGTGCTCACAGACCTTGTCGTACGCCTCAGCCACCTCTCTGAATTTGATCTCAGCAGCTGCTTTTTTCCTTGGCGACGGCAACGACCAAGCGGCTAAACAGGCGCGACTACAGCAGTGACTCGTAGCGATTCCGACTCCAGTGACTCTGCAGACTCCAGTGACTCCTGTAGTGACTCCATGTGACTCCTGTAGTGAGTCCCAGTGGTGATCCCAGTGACCTAGTGAGGACCTAGGGCTTCGAGGGACTGGCCCGGATTCTTGTCGGGATGATGTTGCAGCGCAAGCTTTCGGTACGCCTTGCAGGAAATTTTCCAGCGGCCACAACATGCCACGACCAAACTTAGTATATCTATATATGATATATATGTATATCTTAGTATCAGAGCATGCCTTCACTTTGGACTTGAAGTGTCTTGCCAAGGCTCATCCCACCGGATAGGGGCCTCTTCCTTTCTCAAGGCTATATTCTGTAAAGCTGCTATGAACATTTCTCGAACATTTGGACACTTTTCTATGCAGATCATGGATCAGGACGGATCTGGAACAGTTTGGCCTTGCGAACTTCGTCATGACTCGCAGAGGCTGGCAAACCCAAGATTCGAAAGTAGCGCTCGATGGGCGGCTTTGGAGCTACTGGAGGCGGCCTCCAACTCCATCTGTAACATGAAACAAGTGTTTCCAATGAAACAAATGAAGTTGCGCTAAGGCTGCTAAGTTGTAACAAAATGATAAAACGGGTTGTGTCAATGTCATATGTCTCACACGTCTCACATGTCACACGCGCCCGCTGCGCCCTTTTCTGCTGTCAAGCTCCATGTTCGTTTCAGTCCCGGCCTGGGTCTTCCACCACCAACACCTTGGTTGCCCGGTGGGGTCCAGGTCCCGCATTTCGTCTCTGGCCCGAGGGCATCCCAGCGTGATTGCGATTGCCTGTCACGGATCTGGATGATGGGGGCAAATGGTGGGCCAAGATTACACCAGTTATAGATATGCCGCAATGAAACCATACAAAACCTAGATTTATGTATATATATTTATTTATTTATTTATCTATATATTTATCTATATATTTATCTAATTTGCCAATTAATTTCACAAACCTATTTTTGCCCCACTGGTACCAGCACATGACAAACAGGGACACATCAAGCACATCCCGCCTGCTGCGAAAGCTCGTCTGTTCTCTTCGGCCTGCAGGCTGCAGAAGGAGGAGACTTGGCTCGGAAAAAAGAAAGTACCCAGCTCAGCCCTGTCTTTTTCCACTGGAACAAGACAAACACAGCCTGCTTTCATCCACGGCTAGCCAGTTTTTGTTGGTATTTGGTTGGCATAGGGTTGACTGTCACAATTGATGCATACAAAATCATACAAATAGAGATTGTCAGACTCGTCCCTCACCTCTCAACATCAGCCTAGTTTCAGAGCAGAGCAGCTTGGTACATTTGGCACCACACCTTCGCCTCCCAAATGCGATCGTAATCATCGCCGAATCCCGACTTCGCTGACTTCTCAGGCTTGCCCCTTCGGTTGCTCGGTATGCCACCATGTGTGCTGGAAATCCGTATGGCATGGTGACGTATGTGACGTGGTGACGTGGTGCATCTGCCAGTCATCTTGGCTTGGAAGAAAAATGTCTGGCAAAAGACTTTATCATACTTTATCTAGTGACTCTAGTGCATCTTGCAGAATCTTGCAGCTGGGCCACGTCTGGGATGAGTTTTTCTCGCTTTTCTGCTCCTCAGAAAGTAGGCCACACCTTCCTGGTTGCACTTGGCTAAACACCGAATCCCAGATCACACGACTATGCTGGGTTCCTGTGCGTGTTGCGATCTATCAGCTGGATTTCCATAGTTGAAGAAATTCTTGAAGCGCGATTCCACCATCTTTACTTGACCTGGCAAGGCATATGGTTTTGAATCTTTGAACATCTTTAAACCCCCGACATCCTGCACCACATGTCCAGCCTATGGAGGCAATCAGCTTCTGGATTAGCTCCTCCTGGACCAATGGCTCAGCTCACCCGCTCACCAATCGCAGGCAAGTCTCATCCAGTGAACTCATGTGGCCACCAAGAAACCAAGGCTTTCACGAGCTTTGCAAATCTGCCGCTTTGGGCGCCCATGATTTTGAGTCCACTCTAACTCCCAGGTGATGTGGCAATGGGGAAATCTTCTGAAGATGATTTTCTCAAAATGGATGTCTTTTCTCTACTGTCTCTACCCCCAAGCAACTGCGTCAACTTCAAAAATTATCTCAGAATCAGCTGGTGTCCCCGCTCCCGGCTAGATCCACTTGGGAAGCTCAACTTGCGCTCGCCTCAGCCACTGGGGCAGCTCTCCGCCTTGACCCCTACAATTGTATACAATTGTATGCATGTAGTCATGGATAAACCAAGCCAAGGCGCTACAAACTTTGCTTAAAGCGCTCAACGGCAACTTTTCCCAAACCAAGACATCAGTGAGCTTCGCCACCATGTCCTGGCATCGCAGGGTATTGCATCGCATCATTCTGTTGAGAACGTTTTCATGATGTTTCACATGTGCTCATATATATTCATATACATGCATACATACATACATACATACATATATATAATATATATATATGTGTGTGTGCATGTGTTACATTATATTTTCATATATGTTCATATATGAAACGCTGTCGTTCAGTCCCAGTCCTGCTTTTCCTCAGATTTGGACGGATTCGAGTCATGTGACACTGGCAGCCGCAACTGGGACGTGGTTTGTCATGACTTCATCATTTTGACGCAGAATCTTTGCCAAAGCTTGATCTGATCGACACATTTCAAAAGCCCAGCGTCAGTACCAGCTTCTACAGCCAGGCCACGTCGTTCGAACCTGGGCCGGACAACGATACCAATTGTTTTTTCATGTCATTTCATTTCATGGAGTAAAAGTTCCGTGCCTTTGCCATGTGACCATTCAAACGCGCTGTCATGCTCTGTGATGCGCTGTGATGCCCTGTGATGCCCTGTGATGCCCTGTGATGCCCTGTGCGCTGTGGCCAAGCCGAACTGTATGCCGTCCCAGCAGCTCGCGCTTCAGATCGCCAGCGCTGCCCTCCTCAAAGCGTTTGATCTGTTTCAGAACTTCCTCAGCCTCACAAGTGTCGTCATGGCACGCTTGTGTCACGTGTCACGGGATGTCAATGTCACGGGCACATCACCGCGCTGTCAGATCTGTCAGAGTCGAAATATTCGCATGGTTCAGTGGAGCAAAAGATCACGGGACTACCGGGACTACCGGAATTGTGGGATTTTGTTGCTTGTCAGCTATTATTGTTATTATGATCTATCCCAGCCGTTTAGTAATTAGTAATCATCTAAAATGGCTGGGTAAAAGCTGCGTTTTCTGCGCGCTGCTCTGCTTTTTTTCCATTGGACTCTGCAAGTCGTTCCGAGCTATGTGGACTGAGCAATCGAGCATTGTTACACCACCCTACACGAGTTTCTTTACCTTACATTCCTGTGCTTGCCACTGCGGCAAGCAAGGTGCACCCCCTGGCATCCATGGCTGCACAATGGAACGTTGTCTCACTTGATGGGGTCCTTTCAGCCCTGTTTGAGGTGAAATTAGGCACTCACTCCAGGCACTCCAATCTCCCATGATGCAATCACGCAGGCCCCTCGCTGTGGATGGGTCCACTGACATGGGCTCAGCTCCCTTGATGGGTTTCACCATGAACACATCTCCAGTCTCTGTGAGATTCGTGACATTCTCGATGTCCTCCACCACGGAGTAATTGACAGCCTCCTCCAAATCCACCTGTTCCTCGGGTCCTAGAACTTGATCCAATGATGACTCAGCTGGGGGAGCCGGGCCCGGGTCTGCCGTCGCGAGCTTGGGCGCCCACAACTTCTGGGAGGCCTGGAGTAGGGACACACTGTCACCACTGTGGGCATCGGAGCAAACGCTCTGAGGAGTTGTGGCTGTAGCCGTGAAGGATGCCAAGCCCGCTAAGCAAAGGATGCGGTAAAGGTATCGCACTTCCATGGCTTTGCGCAGTAACATTGCCAAGTTTGCTCATAAGTTCGGTGCCGAAATCTACAGAGGCGCACAGAATCATACAGAATCACAACTCAGAGCAAAACAAACGCAAACTCACATAAAATGAAAAAGCAATTCGGTTCGAGAGAGCGACATCTTGACAGCGCCGTGGCATCATAAGTAACAAGAGATAAATAACAAAAGAAAACAGGAAGCTTGAAGCGGAAACGTGATTGATTCAGTCAGGACATTTTGAGAATCTCACAAGTTGTTCTTCTACATGAGAAACATCTGGGATGAGGAGAGGCGTCAATGCCAATAGCATCCAATAGCTGAAAAGTTCATCCGGCCTTGCTCAGGTCATTGAACTTGTCCACAGGGACATTCTTCTTCTTGCACATCTCCTGCCCCAGTGGATCATGTCAATCATGGCAAGTGAAATGACTTTGATGCAACGAGTTCACAAAGAGTTCTCCAGAACGCGATCCCGACGACTGCGGCCATTGTACAGCGACACCAGAAGCAAATCCTGCAAGGATTGAGACTGATTGGCTGTTGCGGTCCTTAAAGATGAGCATTTTGCCAATGATGAAGCCATATAGCCGCGAGTGAACATCAAAAAAAATGTGCTAGAGACGTGCGGCACTTCAACTTTTCGTTCAAGGGCAAACTTCTGTCTCAATGTGTCTCAATGATATTATACACCTCTACACGCAGGGCAAACTGCCTCAGTACATCTTCCGGCGAATCACGCTGACTCGCTGCGAGAATATTGAGTCATGTCATTTGTCAATATTTGTCATACATCTCTGGTACATCTCTGGTTGACTTCATGGCCATGACCAAATGAATCTGGTCACCTTGGCTGGTCTTGCCTCACTTCTCGGCAGTCTCTGCTGGCTTTTCCTTGGCATCTGTCTCTTTTGTCTCCTTTGTCTCCTTGGGGGCTTTTTCCTTCCCTTTGCCCATGTATGACTCCAACTCTCCATCAAGATGCTCCTTTTCAAGGCCATCTGCCTCCTTGCCAAAATACTTGCTGAGTTCCTGGTCAAGCTGTTTGGGGTCAGCTGGCTTTCCATTCTTGGTCTTGCCCTTGCCGCCCTTGCCCTTGCCTTGGCCTTTTCGGGTTGGGCCACGGCCACCAAAGTTCCGGAACTCATCCATGCTGTCGCCCTTGTCTCCGAACATGTCATGCTTCCATCTGCCTCCAAAACTACCAGCACTTCCACGACGCGGCGACCTCTCACGATCAAAGCTGCGATCATCACCACGCTCATCGTGCATGGAGTAGCTTGCGTATCCGGAGCCGCGTTCAAAGCCGTTGCTCTTGCCCTTGCTCTTGCCCTTGCCATATCCACCATATCCACCGCCGTATCCACCATCGTATCCACCATATCCCTTGCCGCCATTCTTGCCCTTACCACTGTCTTTGCCCTTCCATCCTTTGCCCTTGTTGCCATAGCCATAGCCATCCATGTCATCATAGTAGTCACCACGGTCATCCCAAGGATCTCTCCAACTCTTGCCCCATCCTTTGTCTTTTCCTTTGCCGTTGCCTTTGCCCTTGCTATAAGATGATCCCCAAGAGTCTTCTTCAAGATCCTGTCTGCCCCAGGCACGCATGCCGCTGGCATCCATTTCTTGACGCTTGGGTGGTGGTCCGGCTACCATCCCAAAATCCTCTCGTGCCACATCTTTCCTCAAAAAGATCGCCTGAGTGTTGCACCGTTTACTCATTGCTACAACTGCTACGCCTACGGCTACGGCTGGGTGGACGATGGACGATCCGTCACGGGCCGCGGGTTTCGAGGGCTTCAAAAGCCTGAGACTGATGCCTGCGAAAGAATGGCGACGAAGATGCATAACAGGCACAACAAGGAAATACATGTCAAAAATCAAAATATATGGATTGATTAGAATAACGTTCAGATTTTTTCAGATCTTTTCAGATCATTCAAAATCCACCGGCAAAGGAAGTACTATGGAGAACTCAGTTCTTGTCCTCCATGTCTGCACGTGACATGCTAGCTCCAAAGCTCAGGCCACGTTCGCTAGCTTCCTGCAGGATGGATGGGATGATACTTCCAAAGGACCATGTGACAATGTCATACAATGTCACACGGCAAATGCTACGATGATACATCCCAAGCAACAAGTTGAGAAATGCACAATGTGACTTCTACGACAAAATCCAAAATCCCTCAAAATCCCTGCCTTTTGAAGAATGTTGAGGGGCATGGCTTGCCAAATTCGAAGTTGGCGAAGCCGCCTTGGAGAGGTTGGCAGCACACTGGCACAGAGGAAAGGCGCAGAAAGGGTGAATCAGAGCCACCAGGGCATCTATTGATACCTATTGAATCTATCAGAATCTATCAGGATCTATCAAGTCTTATTGAGTCTATTGCTTGCCAGTTAAACGGCAGGAGAAGCCAACGAATTTCAATAGAATCTTGGCTCAACGATAAAAAATGTTACCAATGCAGTGCCGAAGTGCTCAATGACCTCACCCTTCTCAACACATCCATCTGTGGGGATGCCCACTTCGGAGCACTCTGCCTTCAGCTGCTTGACATTCATCTGCCGCCAGTGGCAACAAGCTGCCAAGACCGCCTTGGCACCCAAAGAGCCCAAACTCTCCAGGGGAATCGCCTCCTCCTGGCACTGCCGCTCCAGGTCCAACGCCTCACTTTGCGAATTGGCTGTGCCCTCTGCATCTGCGCCATCTGCGCCATCTGCGCCATCTGTGCCATCTGTGCTCCTTGGTTCACCCTGCGCTGGGCCATCAACGATTCCGAAGGCCTGGAGCAAATGGAGCAGCTCCGCCAGGTTGTCCTCGTCAAGCTCCAGCCCCTCCAGCCGCTCCAGCCGCTCCAGCCGCTCCAGCCGCTCCAGCCGTTCTCGCACAGAGGACGACAGCTCGGTGGCTCCAGAGACCAGCAGCACTCGGATGGTGTCCAGGGCTGCCCAGGCGTTCGAGCTCTCGCTCTCGCTCTCCAAACATTCCAGGGAAGCTGCGATGGCCAAAGACAGAGGAGTTTCACCTGTGAAATCCGCGGCATTCACTGGGGCACCATACTCCAGCAACAGCCTCACCATATCTGCAGCTGCATCTTGTCCACCCTGACGACTCGCAAAGTGCAAAAGCTGACGTCCAGATTCATCGACTCCTTTGGACAAAATCTGAGAGCCCTCAAGGAGCAGCAGCCGCATCTCCTCCACATTGCAAGTCTCCACCGCTCTCATCGCATCATCCGCTGGAACTCCAGATCTGTCTGGAGCGATGCCAAACTCCGTGAAGAGGTTCACCACTTCACCTCAGCTCTTGGCTCTTGAACTATAGGAACGAGAGCAATCAAATTTAAGCAAACTTCAAGCAACGAGAAGGCAATGCAAGGAGCAAACCTGCGATGAGAAATGAACTAAAAAAGCAAGCAAGCAGGCAAAGGAAAAACCAAAATCCAAAAGAAAGGGCATGCAATGACATCGCACCATTTAGTGCGTCAAGAAGTGAACTGAAGATGGCACAGCCAAGCCACTTTGACGGTTTTCAATGGCCAAATCCCTGGCTGTACGGCCATGGCTGTTGCGAAGTAGCGCATCGGCACGGTGTTGCAGTAGAAGGCGACACAGCTCAGCTTCCCCACGACACGCCAGTTCCATCAGAGCCGTTTCCGAGGCAATGGCATCCGGATGACTCGGATCTGCTGCAGCCTCCAACAGAGCAGAGACCACCCCGAAGCGTCCATCGAAGCCATCCGCTGCTGTCACATCTGTCGGACAGCGTGCGGCGGCCAACAAAGGCGTCTCCCCCAACAAGTTCTTGTTGTTCGCCTCCGCCCGTGCAGCCACCAAGACTTGCACCACTTTCTGGCCACCGCATTCACCGCCTTCACTGCAACCTATGGCACACCTGTGGAGCAAAGTGTTCCCGTCCACATCAAAAGCACGCACCAAATCATGTACGGCAGATTCTCCTTCGGAGATGGATCGTAGCTTCGTCAACCATAAGTCCAGATTGGCCGCGTTGTGTTGGTCAACTGCAATCATCACCTTCTGAGCTAAGCTCTCAATATCCTGTGCCCATGCATGTGAATGAAAACAACCAACATGAGAAAACGGAAGGCACTGAAAACGGAGACAGGAGTCCAGTAGCAGCCTCCCAATACTTAGTTTCGAAACACAGTGGGAAAACACGTGGCAACGATGAATAGACAAGACTTCTCCATTTTTTTTCGCTTCTATTAACTTGCAAGCTCCCGGTGAGCTCCAGCTGCTTAGGCATGCACTGACCACCACTTTAGGGTTAGACTTGGTTAGACTCGGTTAGACTCGGTTGGACTCCATCTGGTGCCCATCTGGTCTTGTGAAAAGTCCTAGACCCTACTTGCTGTACTGGCCCGCCACCCACCTCCACGCTCTTGTCGAGATCAGGCTCCTGGCAAGCCCGAGTTCCCTTCAATGCGGCACTGGACGAAAATGTACCGATGGCTTGGATGCGCTGAAAAACATACGTGCCACAAATGTATACAAATATGATTTCAATGATTTCAAATGTGCCATAAATATCTGCTCACTGATGGTTCAATGGCGACTGGCACCTTCAAATGATCATCCAAGGTCGACAGGATTTGTGCCAAATCAGCTGCCACCTGCCGGAACAACCCTTGGGATGCAAGCAGGCAATACGGCAGGGAGCTTAAAGGCACAAAGTCATCACAAAATATACACATCAAACCGGGAATCAGTCGGATTGGACTTGCTAGGAAAAACCGGACACACGCACACTTATTATTATTACTCTTATCATTATTATTATTAGTGTTATTATTATTATTGTATTATTATTATTATTAATTACTATTATTATATATATATGCATATCATGATATCTCTGGATTCCCACCTTTCGCTATCTAGATCTATGTACAGTATACCTACAGTATCCTCACATATCTTCACTTTCACCATGTCGTGCGGTCAGGAGCCCCAGTGGAGCCTCTTCGTTGCCCTCAGCCATCCGCGTCTCCAGCAAGTCACGACCTTTGGATCTAAGACAGTCAGATGTCAGCAACGGTGAAACAAGTCACGACATGTCACGACCTGCGCTTCAAACTTATCATCTAGCTGAGTCATTGCTGAGTCTAGCTGAGTTTAGCTTGTTACTATCCTATACTATCCTGTTAATTGGTGCTCAGTTTAGTTCAATTGCTTGTTCGCACACCCTTATCTACTGCACCTACGGCCGATACTCTACAAATTGATATCTCTGCCGATGTTGGTCGCTCAGCTTTAAAAGTTTGCATGGCAAGGAGCCTACAACTTCAGCTCGGGCGTTCAAGAGCGATGAGATCACAGCAGAGGCGGTTGCCAGTGCACCTGGTCTGTCATCGGCCACAGCCACAGCTGCCATTGAAAGAGCCAGCGGGCTTTGGTCGTTGGCATCGGGAACCCCTGGTCGTGCTCGACGTGACAGCAGCATCTGAACAATGTGGTCAGTGCCTGGACGAAGTGGCTGCGCTGCAGATAGGTGCAGCAAGGTTCGTCCCATACCATCCGTGGCATCCAGAGCAGCTTCCACAAATCCACTGTTCCCCTGGGAGTTCCCCTCCAGTTTCTGCAATGCACGCTGAACAGCTTCTACATCACAAGCCTTGACAGCTGCCCGTAGGGTCAGAGGTTTGGTGGATGTGCCTTTGGTGGCGCCATACCCGGATGGACCTTTGTAGGTGGGCGATGAGGCCGCCGCTGGAAATCCATAGGTGCTGGATGAAGGACCTCCATCCGAGGGATCGGCTTCACCTGGTGGTGCAACATGGCAACACGGGAGTTTTTGGATAAAAAGAATGGCCCTTCCTACGCAAATTGGGAGCCAGTTGATTCTGTTGGGATTGAGGGTTCAAGTTGATTCAAGGCTGATATGAACTGATATGACTCAACGCAACTGATATCAAGTTGAGTCAGTGAACCTGGCCTGACATGCAACTGCTTCGAGGCTTTACCACTGTGCTGCTTCATCCTCTGAATCGCGCGGCTGGGATGGGCGGCCTACATTTTCCCAAACGTCTTGCAACGCTGAAAGGCTTCACACTTTTCACTGAATCATACAAATCAAAAAAATGACTAATGACAAATCTGGCAACGAATGAGTACAGCTTTGTGCAGCTTAGTACAGCTAGAAACTTCTGAGCACAAAGAGTTTATCGTTTGATCTTTCAAATGCTGAGATTGTCCGGGTAGCATTACGATGCTTGGAGAATGTTGAGGAGTTCAAGCAGACACCCGACTTGCAATGCACGGGGCTAAGCGCCTTTTTCCAACTGTTACCACCTTAAATCGGCAACGTAAGCAGAAAGCTACCACGCTACCGACGCTACCAGACTAGATTGACTAGATATGAAAGCGGCCCACAGTTGGTGTCAGTCAGAAAATGTCGTCGAACATGACAATGGGAACCTCTGTCCGCAAGAGCCTTGGCTGGCTGCAGGACCGCGGTGAACTGAAGTAATTGAAGTATCATTTGTTGATTCTTGCATTTTTTGTGCCGGATGCTCTCCAAGCATTCGACTCTTTCTCTGGACTTTCGGGTTGCAATCCACCTGCAACAAGCCAAAGTCTACTTCATTCTATTTCTCGCTGCGCAAAGTCAACACAATGACCATCAATCCGAAACCTTCGGCAATCTGGGTCTGGACCTGGGGCCGACTGTTAAATTTGCCCAACACGCACTGTTCAATCGCAAATGCCAAATTCGAATAGGCTTCAGGCTGCGGGCGGCTTAAGCACTTCAGCAGGTGGCTTTGCACACTGCACATTGTTTGAAGCGACTTGTGACCTTCGATTGTGCGGTGCTGTCCAATTTTCGCCACTTTTCCTTTTGAAATCTGTTGTGATCTGTCTTGAGAGCTGGGTCATGCATGGTTTTGCCATGTTGCAATCTTTCCCGCCTCCCTGGGTGCAGGCCCTGCAGGAGAGTTGGATTTGAGTTCAGCCCTCCTGTGAGCCTCGAAGCACGATGAAACGCGCCAGGAAAGAGTCCCATGGACTGCGCAAAATCACGAGCTAACGAGCCGCACCTTGCGGAATGAAACCTCAGCTGTCACGGCTGTCCCCAACAAATCCGCAATGAACAATGAATTACTTGCTTAGTTCCAAACTGATGGGCACGTTGCTGGTGTTCCAAATGTTCTTTTAATCGCATCAGGTGCAACCTCAGCATTCCATGGCACAAAGCAAAATAATGGTTTCACACTCCAATCAAACCTGCAAAAAAAAAACAACGCACATCAATTCGCCTCATCTGTTCTTCATGTTCTTTCTGGTGTGCCAACTGCATACGGCGCAAATCCTCCTTGCATGAGAAAAAGTAAAGCACAAACGCCACCACAAGTCAGTCCAGCAAAGCACTCCTGGCTGGAAGGGGCACCCCAGGGTTTTGCAGCAGTCATGGGAAGTGGAAAGCCCTGCAAGGCTTCAAAAATGTTGAGACATGCTGGCGGAACCAAACATCGTTTCAAATGTGCACAAACATCCAACAAATTCAAGAATCGAGTCTCAGCCTCACTCACCAGGGCAGGCCTGGCCGGATTTCAACACATTTTTCATCAATACCGATAGTTACGATAGTTCGGGATTGTGTAGAACCACAAGGCAACATTTTTTTTGTTCGTTCTCAGCACTTCATGCGTTCTTTTCAGCCATGAAATGCGGGTAAACCTTCCTGAAAAATCACCTTGCCTGTTTTGAGTTTCCATGCCCTTGGATGTCACCAGGCAACGCAACAGCAACCCACATCACAGCGTCGGATATCATCGGATATTGTTATAGACAATGCATATTGGATCAGTTCTTGCATAGGCAGTCGAGCATCATTACCATCCACGTTCGATACCATGTGGCTCACCAAATCGTCAGCGACTTCAACCTCCATCGGGTTTTGACCGCATCTCCTGCCAGGAAAATGTTTTGCGACGACAATTGTTTGGAAACACCATGAAACGACCGAAATTTGGCAATTCGACTGAAAACCCCGGGGCCTTTGGCATACACAAACAGCTGCCGAGAGTGCCGTCCCCATGTTCAAAGAATTTGATGCTGACAGCTGCGAAACCAAGCTGGGTGACCATGGCGTTGTTCTGCCACTGCGTCACTGCTAGATGCGTCATGTGAAATGGCAGCTGCATATTTTGCTCACCGCAACACATCAACACATGCACAGACTTGAGGCCGGGGGTGGATGACGAAAGCTAGCGGGGTAGGAGAAAGAAGGAAGGGAAGACGTATCTTCAGTGTCAGCAGGGAAATGTCGGTGGCGTTTCCGCTTCAAACCCTTTGGTGTCATGGCGAGATTTCACGCTGTGCGTTTTCCATGGCGAGGCACGGCTAGGTAAGAGCGCAAAGCCGCGTTGATTCTGACATTGGCCCAGGTACTTGAATGCACTTTGTTTACTAAGCAAATGGAGCACAAAATGATAGAAAAGAAAAAGGCTTGAAAAACGACAATGATTTGAAAATTATTTTTTCGGTCGGGCAAGTTAAGCCACCCGACCTCCACCATGAAACAATTTCCAAAGGACTCCTTAGACTTGCGTCTGAAAACGGATTTGAACTTTCAGGTTTGCCGTTGCAAATCAAAAGAATCGAAATCGTAGACTGAGTAAAGCATATGAAAGTAGTGAACTCTCCATCGAAGGTTTGGCCAGTAAAACTATGTATACCAAACTTGTGCGTTGGCTAGGAAAGACGTCCAATCATGGAGCATCCACTTGCCAGAAACCGAGACAGAATCAACGACTGGAAGTTGAACGGCGAAGGTGCATCTGTTGCACGTGGAGGCTGCCAATCTGCGTATCCGAATTATGGTTTGGAGCTTTCGAGGGGGGTTAAGGACGGTCAAAAAGGCTTAAAGGAACGGGATATCACATGTACGTACAGAGACATAGTATACATACACAGACACATACATATAGACATATACATACATATAGACATATACAGACACACACATTTATAGATATATATATATATGCATGTATGTGATCTTTAAATGTGCTAAAATCAGGGTCCCTGAAAAATGGATGATAAATACCGCCAAATCAAGATCAAAGGCGTCCTTTGGTTATTTTTGTTATCAGATTCTGCATTCAACGGAAGACGATGACCAGGAAATCAACCAGAAATAGTTTCCAGGCAGTAGCTGAGGTTTGCCTGGAAACTTTTGCGACGCTGGATGTGAAGCAACAGAAAAGGAGAAGGTAGACACACACAACTGTCCCAAGACAACGGCGTCATCGACCAGGGATAAGAAGGCAAGTATATAGACACATTTTCCAAAACAAACCAGGGGGATCGAACCTGATGCCGATGATGACGATGATGATGATGATGAGGATGATGATGATGATGATAACAAAGTTGATGACGATGACAATGACGCTGACGTTGACAACGACGATGACGGCTGAAAATGACAATGAAGGCTGAAAATGACAATGACGGTGACGATGACAATGACGATGACGATGACAATGGCGAAGACAATGACACTGACAATCACAATGATGATGATGATCATGATGACGATGATGATGATGATGTTGATGATGATGATGATGATAGTGATGATGATGATGATGACGATGATGATGATGATGACGATGATGATGGTGATGATGATGATGATTATGATTATGGTGATGATGATGCTCATGATGATGATGATAATGGTGATGATGGCGATGATGATGTTGATGATGATGATGATGATGAAGCGGATGCGGCAGATGATCGGGATGATGATGAGGAGGAGGATAAGGATGAGGAGATGATGATGATGATGATGATCATGATGATGATGATGGTGATGATGATGATGGTGATGATGATCCCGATGACGAGAACGATGCCAACGACGATGACGATGACGAAACCGATGACGATGACGATGACGATGATGACGATGATGACGATGATGCTGATGATGGTGATGGTGGTGGGGTTGGGGGGGGGAGCCTTTCGCGTGAAAAATCACGTGATGTCCTTGAGCAGCCCCCGGAATACTTGCTAAAGCAAGAAGACTCCAGCTAGCTGATGCTAGCTTTCGTGACAAATGCTCCACACACGCGGCAATTGTTGTTTTCCATGCAATATTGAGAAAATAAAAACGGTGCTGTGGTGTTGGTTGCAAAACCATGAGCCATTATCATGGAGCATGCCAACGGTTTTCAACCTTTTTTTTGCTGGAAATCCTATGTACCTTGCACAAACATTGCCACCTCATTTGGGTCCAAAGTGCAAGACGACGTTGAAAAGGTAAAGCAAAATAAAGTAAATGCCAAACGTACACACGCGAGTGAAAAAACGTATTTCGAAAAATATACATGCATACTGCAACACTCGGGCAAATGTCACGTATGTACCGGTATTGAGCTTTACGGATACCTCTTTGTTTCCGCCACATAGGGCATAAATGAACATACCGTACCCATGTTTCCACCCAACCGTTTCTTCAAAGATTTATCCCCAGAAACCCCAAACCGTGCCGAGGAGAACATCTACTGATCAGAGCTCCTGCCAAGGGCTTCATTTCAGGACCTCGGCTAACCGGTGACGTCTAAAAGATCTTACAAAGTCTCTATGCGAGACACTCCGGCACCCCAACAGAGTTTTCACACAAGCACGTCTAATACATGGGCGTTCGCCATTCAAACTGTAGAACCTAAAAGGGCCAAAGGCGGTTCTCAACCTTTTTCCTGCAGCTCAAGGGCCCTGAATGGCCACGGGTGACAAGTCGATACATGCATGACATGACTCCCTGTATTTTAAAATTCGTGAAGACCACTGGGTTTGATGACCATCAGTGGAGTCCACTCTGAGTGCAAGACGGCCCTTGGAGAGAATGTCACGCAACATGAAAGCATGCTTCAATTTGGTCAAATGATCAGCCCGCTGCACTTCAGTTGCAATCCAACGAAAAATCTCATTCAATCTCTCTGGGTCTTCATCAAACTCTCCAGCCGTTTCTTTCAGGCCTCCTACGTCGATAGCGAAACATTTCTCTTGAGTTGAAGGAAGAGGGCCATCTTTCACAAGCAAATCGTACAAACTACGGCAGTCTGTTACCGCGATCACTGGAAAAAGATCCGCAAGCAGTCGACCGCAGGGAATGCCAGTCTGGAAGGCTGACGTTGTCGCGGTTGACCGTCTCGACCAAAGAAAACCATGTATCCCACCTGGGATTTGAATTCTTCTGCAACCGCCCAGCTGCTGTCGATCAAGACCACGATCTTCGCGGTCGTGAAGTCAATTGGCCTGAAGGTCAAGGACTATTCCTCTGAATTTTTGGCCTCTTTCAGGAGCTTATTCAACTGCCCAAGGTGAAAAAGGAGTTGAGCTTTAGCGAAACCAGGAAGACCTTCTTGTCCTTCTTGTGGCTGTCGAAGGTGTCGTGCTTCTTTTCGGCTGGCCAATTTCTGATCACCTTGGAGAAATGCTCCGGTGACGTCGGAATTGAAAATGAACCTACCCTCCATCGATGCTTCTAATTGCAGAAGCACCATCAAAGATATCAAAGCCAATCTGGTCAAAGTTGGTGCGTCGCGTCGCAATGTGGTAATGTCGGGGTCTGCGTCTCCATGACAAGCTATGAGTGCTTTGTACTTGAAAGGCATCCATGGGTATGCCGCCTTCTTGTTCCTGTAGCAGACTCTCGTAGCCAGAATCCTGGCTGGGTCTACCGGTTTCTCCACCGCTGCGGGTGCTTGTAAGTCTTTGGACAAAGCTTCGTTGAAACCAGCTGCATGCTCGACAGGGATCATGTGCCATGGTATGTCCTTGTCCAAGGCCTTCTGCTCTTGGTGGGTCAAGAAGACAAAACGTTGATAAAATGTTTGCTGAACTTGTTCTGGAGGCTCTACGAGCTTCTCATAGTCGAAGACCTTGACGACCTGATTAGAACTGGATGCTTCTGCCTGTAGATCCCCGGATTTGACGGGCATCTCAGTCGCAGTCGCGTCATCGAGCCGAATCCTCTTAGGGTCGGGTTCTTCAACAACGACTCCGCCTTGTTCATCATGAGCAGACGGGGGAAGTGCTTCCATCTGCCAGGCAATCCAAGTTCGTTTGGTCCTCGCAGAATGCTCTGAACTGGTGTCCCTGGTGCGCGCGTGAAGGTCGATGTTTGCTGTGGCTGAGTGGTGCCTGTGGGCACCGAGCTTGTTCTACTGCCATGTTGCACTGGGTTGGTCAGCTTCTGCTTCAGGTGCGGCGATAGATTTTTTTCTGATGGATGGCTGATGTCCACTGCTGCTCTCGGCATCGTAGATGGGCACATTCACACCATCAGAGAAATGAGGCATATCATCATCTTGTGGGCCCCCAACTTCATCAAAGTAATGCTCCGGTGGATTGTCTGCCGCCTGTTGGAGAGCTTCTTCATCTATTGCCCATCTCTCTGTTCCAAAGGTCGGTCTCATTTGCTCTTGTGAAGCCAAAATTAGCTTGCCACTTGAAGTCACCCAATAGTTCGACTGGTTGCCAGCTTCGGTTCTTGGTGAGGACCAACTACGGTACCGCGAAACCAACCAGGTTTCAAAAGTTTGCCCTTCTTCTTGACATCGCGCCAGAAGGCCACCAATTCTCCGGTTTCGTAGCTCTTGCTTGACGGCCGGCCAATGCGGTCGACGGCAGCTCGAATGGTTTCATCAACTCAGTATTGCGCCAGCAGCATGTCTGCTCGTGACCGAACATAGTTGCGGACCAGAAGTTGTTCATGTCCTCTGATGGCATCAATCTGTCCATCTGGGCTAGAAGATCTTCGGAATCCTCGGGTTTCTGCCGCAAACCCATTGATTTGCGGAAGCTCCGCAAATTCTCACCTTGTCATTCATGGCGGATCCAACCATCGCCGCCAATATCTTCATCTCGATCTCACCGCGGTACTGGTTCTCGCCGATGAGTTTATCAGCCACATAGCGGAACGCGCGGTTGAACACTTCGATAACACCTGCTTGCCAGCGAGCTTCTGCGGATAGCATCTTTATCTATGCCAAGCCGCTGCACCTTGTCCTCGAAGTCGCCCTCAAGACCACCATCGCGGTCTGTCCAAAGGCTACGAGGA